TTTTTTTTTTTTTTTTTTTTTTTTTTTCCGTCTCTTGCTAGGAAATTAGTTCTTTCTTTCGTTTTCGATCCGGTTTCATTATTTCCTAATTAATTAATTAATTAATGGAGTACTTGATTATTTTCGCTTATTTTCTTTGCTCTGGATTATTTCTCTCTCTTTTCTCTTTTTTCTCTCTTTTCTCTTTTTTCTCTCTTTCTCTCTCTTTCTCTCTGTTTTCTCTCTGTTCTCTCTTTTTTTTTTTCCCGTTTACACGAATTTCTTTTCTTTCGGTTCTCTCTCTCTCTCTCCGGTTTCATAATTTCCACCTCATTAATTAATTAATGGAGTACTTGATTGTTTTCGCTTATTTTCTTTGCTCTGGATTCTTTCTCTCTCTCTTTCTCTCTCTTTCTCTCTTTTCTCTCTTTTTTTTTTTCCCGTTTACACGAATTTCTTATCTTTCGGTTCTCTCTCTCTCTCTCTCTCCCCACTATTCGGTTGGAGTTCTTTTTTTGTCGACCCCGCGACGGCTACCGTCTTCCGCTGAATAGAGCGGGAGGTTTATAATACCTGTACTTGGGACAACTTTCAGTCCAGGTACAGCGATAATGACCGTGCGTTCTATTGGGGAGAAGACGGTACCACTGTTTCGACGGCCTGTCCATCTTGTTCAATCGTCGTGTGAACGGACGATCATTATCGAATGTATCTAGACTGAAAGTTGAGCGCTATTCATGATCAGCCATAACCGGTTGACCGCAGACGGTATGGTAGCCTCTGATTATGCATGAGGGAGAAGGACGAGGAAGAGGAGGAGGAGGAGGAAGAGGATGGGAGGAGGCGACGCCAAACGGCTGGGAAGAGGTGGATTGGGAGGGGGGATCCCGATGTATGGTGAGAGGGGAAGAGCTTACGACAGAGTGAAGGAAGCGCGGAGGCGGAGAGGAGGGGGAGGTGGAGAGGAGAGGAGAGGGAGAGGAGAGGAGAATTACGAGAGAGCCGTTCTGTATCTGTCTCTTATACACATCTAGATGTGTATAAGAGACAGGTGTGTGTGTGTGTGTGTGTGTGTGTGTGTGTGAAAGATGTGGAGGTAGGAGGGTAATATACAGTCGTGAACATACCATTATAGACGGTAGGAGTTGGCTTGATGTAGCATAGAAATCTGGCATTGGTACCCATTGGCTCTCCGGTAGGGGCATACTGGAAATTTGGCACAGGTACCGGTAGGGGCATATTGAACATTCTTCAGGCCCAATTGACGCTAGGGTTTTTTTGGAAACTTGAATCGTTGTCGGAGGGGCAAATCAGGGTAAGTCAGCCGTTGGAGGGGCAAATCACAAATAAACGCAAACTTCAGGGGCATTTCAAAAATTTTCCCAAAAAAACACCACAAAATGCAAAACGCAAAGACTATACGAAAAAACATGGAAAAAAGAGGAAAAAATGGGAACCATGCACAAAAGACAATAATCATGGGGATGATGGCCGTGTATCTTTCCATGTTATAGTGGATGATTCACTCTCGTTTTCCAAATTTCGAGAGCCACGCGCGCACGCTGTCTCTTATACACATCTAGATGTGTATAAGAGACAGCTAGGGACTGGTGCTAATCAGAGGAACCGCCCACTCCAAAACCATGCTTAGGTGCAATCAAATCCGTCATTTGACTACA